TTTTTTTTTTTTTTTTTTTAATTCTATTTCATGGTGACACTGAAATATTTTATTTCTTAATTTGTTTGATACTTTTTTAATTTAATTTTTTAATATGTTTTTAGTTTTCATTGTGACGCCAATATATCAACTCTTTTTAATCTTTTTTTTAATATATTTTTTTTCGTATGTATGTAAATTTAATTTTTTCGACTTTTTGTTTACGATATTTTTTTTGTCGCATTTTTTAGTTTTTCATTGTGACACCAAAATATTCAACTCTTTAATTTTTTCATTATTTTTTTTTGCATAATTTTTTTTAATTCTTAGATTTTTCATTTATTTTCTTTAATTTCTTAATTTTTATATCCTTTTTAATTTTTAAGTTTTTTTCATGTGATAGCAAAATATAATTTTTTTATTATATGTTTTAAATTTTTTTTTATATTACTTCTTTTTTATAATTAATTTTTTTTTTGTGCATTTATTTATTTAATTACTTGAGTTTTTTTATGTATATTTCTTTAATTATTTTTATTTATGTTTTTGTTCTTATGCATTTTTTTTTTACCTTAACATTACATAACTTAACTAGTCATTACAACCGTGATTCGGATTCGTTCACACCCGTCTACAAATTGTGCTTCCAACGGGAATTGTTTGGCACACTATACTTTATATTTTAGTGCTTTTGCATGTGGAGTAGCCAAATCGAGGGCCGCCTGTCAGGACATTTCAGAAAAATTCCCCTTCAAACACATCTTAAAGGTTAGGTTCACATTGATCCATACCAGTTGGTCAGGGATCGAACCTGGATATGCTCGCATGGCAGTCAATTGCACTAACCATTGCGCTACGGAGACCCCCAATGGCAGTGCGCACAAAACGTGAATATGAATTGAATTGCAAGAGGAGTAGAATTGACAGTGAGATATGTATGTATGTAGTAGTAGCTAGCTGGTTGCAAGTGCGGCATGAGACTCAAGGGATGTCTTGCTTATGTACACAAAAGGCCGTGCACATCCATTTGTATACATCAATATTAAATAGTTGAAAATAGAACGGATGATGAAAAGGAAATTCGAGTACTGGCAAACAAAATGTGATACACACACAGGTAGTATATGCCACCAATCTTGTGTATGGATATTGAAAATGTTTTAGAACTACGCAGAAGTTTTTTAGGTGTAATATTTTGGTCCATTTTCTGAAAAATATAAAACGAAATCTCATTAAATTTATCACTCAAAATATGTGTATATATTTTTTTTTATTTAAATTTTATTTATTTCCAAGCCATTCCTCAATTTCTCAAGTTTTTCATCGATTGTCGACTCGACAGCTTTTCCACTCGCCTTGGTCATTTTCCAAAAATATATTGTCACGTCGATTAAAAATTTCTTAGTTGTCTCCTCCAGGCCACTTTCGTTCAAAATTTGCAGGTAGCGGCAATTTGACACACCAGTATCCTTTTCAATATTCAGCAGGAGGGCGCTGTCACTGAACTGAAAGAGAGACGGGGAAAATAAAATCTTATTATTTAGAAAAATGGGAAAAGTATAAAAAGTTGAGTTGAGGGCTCATTCGAATAAACTTAATTTTTTTTTAATTCACTTAAACTGAGCTTAAATTTACCTAGTAGCTTTACCTTCCGCCCAGATAACAATTGGATTCTGGACAACGATAAATTTCCTTCAGTTCGAAATTTAATTTCCGTCGCAAAACTTTCAAGTAAATGCTTTTCAAGAAAGAAAACTTATCGGAAGAAGGCATTCGTAGTTGGCGTCCATTTAGTGATATAGCGACAAAAATTTATATGTAATATCTTCGACTATAGTAGCATCGATTTTGGGTATTAGATGAAAAATAAAAAAAAAAAATTAATCTAAATTTTTTGAGTCTATAGAAGAATCTGAACTTTACCCCCGACGACTTAACCGTCTCCAATCCGGACCAAAATTTATATGTGGTATCTGTCATCGTGATATTATCGATTGAGGGGGTGAGACTGAAAATCATTCATTTGATTTTAAGGACTACCCAAGAACCCATACATACTATTGGTTTCGTTTCTGAAATGAGAATTTTACTTGAAAACAAAAGTAAACAAAAAAAAATGTTCGCTTGCATTTTCTGTGAGCATACATTTTTACCGACGGTTGTTGTTGTTATAATAGCACACAAATTCTCCAGAGTTTAGCGGAATATTGCTGGAGTGACAGGTTTTTGGCGATATATGCATCTGGGTTGTTCCGGTTACATAGAGCCGACTGTCGTAGGAACGGTCGACTCTCTCAGCTTTTGAAGAGTAAAGGTACTGAAACCGAGTTTTCCTCAGCCAAATGAAGATAAAAATTAGACTAAATAAGAAATTATAGATAGAAAAGTTGCATCTACTGAGGCAACATTTTTTTGAAAAGTTGCAATTACTGAGTCACTTTCGTAAACATTTGGGTGCTGGTTTAAGCGAGCTATAGCGTTGGTTGGTTGGCTGCAGTGCTTCATAGTACTACTGCCATACACTTAGCGTGTATTCCGCAATTTTGATGCCCTTTCGTGGGAATGCTATGCGTATCTAGTTTTCTCGGTCGAACCAACTTGATTCCGTGATGAATTTCCCGATGTCGCCCATAGTAGATCTTGATATATCTGCTAGTTGCTGCTGAACGCTTTCCTCGCTGCCCTTCATTTCTCTCAGCACGTCTGCCTATGGGCCAGTAGCCCGCAGCGGTTGCTACAATTCTAAATACTTCTGACCTTGATCTATTAAGCAGTTCTAGTGTCTTCGTCCCGTTATAGTCAAAGCCAGCGTTCTCTAGCTATTTTGCAAGTCCGTATGTCCGACCACCTTCTCATTGCCAGTCCACGACTCCGAGGAGACATCCCAGTGCACAGCATTGGATTTTTTTAAGTAGGCTCCTGCCTTCGCCAATACATCGGCCTTCTCGCTGCCTGCCAATGCAGTTTATTGACACACACTAAAAATAATTATGTTTTACATTTCTTGACTAGCTGGGATTTGGTGATCGGTGATTCTAGTGCTAACAGAGCCGCTTGGCTGTCACAGAGTATATTGTTGCCTTATTTAATCTACCGATGCCTTCCCTAGAACCTTTCGTTTGAAATATGCTTTCTTCTTTCCCTAAACGGGGGGACAAGGAGACGCTGAGTTCCTCGGAGTACACACCTGCCCCCACACCACAGTCCATCTTTCAGCCGTCGGTTTAGAGAGAGATTTAAGATTGTGTTTAACGCTTCTGTCGGGCCGGACCCTTTATTGTGTTTATCGAGTGTTGATTTTACTGTGGGCGTACTGTATTTATATTCTCTGATTTTCTTTTGATTAAAATTTATTATTTTGGTTTTAATCAATTTTATATTTTCGTTTGCAAATATATTTGTAATTTTTTGTAATTTTTTTTTTGTGCTTCTCTTTGATTAAATTTGTTCCTAATTGAATTTTATTCTGATGCTTTATATTTTTTTCATTGTGCTTCTTTGCCTTAGATATCATGTTAAACTAAAATTGATATTTCATTTAAGTTTTTTCACTTTTTTTTTATTAATATTAAGTATGTACGTACATAATTAATTTTTTCTGACTTTATTTTGATTATATGTTATTCCGAAAATTTTAGTTTTAAAGATTTTTTGCCTTATTTATTGATAAATTTCTTGAATTGATTAAATTTTTTCTGTTCGAATTTTTTTTTTATAATTTTAGTCAATTTTTTTTATGAAATTTTTTATAAATATTTTTTGATTGTGCTTTGCTTAATCATGTTAAATTAAAATTGATATTTTATTTAAATTTTTTAACTAAAATTGACATTTTACTCAAAAATTGTATATTTTAGTTTAGCTTTTACTTTGTTTTTAATTTTTTCTCCTTTTTGTTAAATGTTATTCTTATGGCTTTAAATAATTTTTTATATTTTAATTTGAAATATTTTTTTGCCATATTTTTCAAATTTTTGTTTATATTTTTTATTTTAGTAAATTTAGTTAAACTAAGTGAATATTTTATTTGTATCTAGTATTCAAAGTTTTGTTTACTCCAATCTGTATATACATAATACTTTTTTATTTATTTAATTTAGTTAGTTATTTTTTTTTGTTTAATTTCACTCACTTCATTCGTTTCACTGCTATAAATAAATTGCCCGCATCACTCACCTCTATAAACGTATCACGCCACATTTTATCCTTCTCTTGCACCGATTCCGCCAATATTGCTTTCTCCAATCGCTCAATATATGTTTCAATGTCGCCAACACGCTTCGCTGAGGCCGGCAAAATCTTCTTGACCTTGGTGAAATAATCAATTTGCGAACGAAAAAGATTGTTGAGAAAGATTTTGGTTTCATTCAATGCTTCGCGTTCGAATTGTGTACGCGTGGCGTTGCTGATGAAAAAACTGTTTTCCTCGGAGCTTTCAAGGGGTCTCTCTGTAGTGAAGGATTCCACATTTTCAGCGCTGCGCGGTGCAAGTATCGTGTGCGCTGATGTGAGATGCTGCAGCGGGAAAAAAAATTTTAATTTTTTATATATTTTTTTTTTGAATAACTATTTAGCTAAAGTTCACACGTTCATACCTCTGCACTTAGCAAACTCATCAAAACTATTACAACTGTCTGCTGCCTCATTTCTCGTTTCAGTGCTGCCTTTTTCCCAAATTTCACTAATAACTAATTTTCACACATGCAGATGCTTGCAACACCTTTTGCTATTCAATCGCTTTTGAAGATTAATTTTTATTTAAGTATATATTTTTTTGTCTTAAGACAATTGGAAATTGAATGTTACTGATCGCGCTGACAGCTTATCAACTAATACTTGGCGCACTACGAAGCTTACTGAACGGCAGTCACGATGAAGCGGAATTATTTTTCACAGCATTCTACTGATAACGCTGATATTTTTAGTTGCATATTTATGTAGGTACATACATATGTTATTATGTACGAGCTTTTGTTGTTTAAAATGGGTGAAGAATTGAGAAATTAAAACAAATTCATAAAATTATGCTCAACGCAAACAATTTGGCATATATTTTTTTGATAAGCGATTATTTTAGTCGATTGAGATTTCAAGCTGAATGAAATTTATATCTCCTACGTCGTACTATTTAATTTTGTGTCTGATACATTTTGTGCTTATCAGTATTGTCTCCTCATTGTCGCACTTCACGCATGCTGGCATTATTTTCATTCATTACACAAATCACCTCTTTCGCTCATCGATTGGCCACCCTTTAGCGTATTTCCTCGTTCTCTATCTCTTATAAGGGGTACTCACAGTCGTTGAACCCTTTTCAACTAGAAACAGTTGGGAAATGTGTTTTATTATTTCCCTTCCCTACTTCGATAACCATTGTCCGTATTTTTTTACATATGTGTGCTCCTTTCACTCACTCACTCCCTCAACCTGTCTGTCTTTAAATCCTCAACAGTCAACCAGCGCCAATAATTCGCATAGCGTATTTGCTGCAGCCGCCCCCCCACCATCATCATCATTATCTGCCACTTATCAGTGCCAGTGTTCCGTGAACCCTTCGGCGTCGAAGAAAATGTATGCGAGAATTCGCACACATGTCCAACATTTCCAATACAAAGCGAAATTGCAAAGTGGAAGTGGAAAATAAAAAATTAAAAAAAAAAACAGGGGAAAACAGAGCAGAAAAATCCCTGCCATATTGTCAAAAGGGTGGCGCTAGTGAAAAAAGTAGGTGACATAAAAGAAAATAGATAATATAGGAAAGGTTTGTCGTTGAGTGCTTTTTATTCGTCTAACTTTTTATGGTTTTATTTTATTGTACTCTTGTTAAACACAAATACAATTTCCTAAACATTTTCAGAAGTGCTTTCCGCACACGTCTTTGATAACTTCTGACACGTGTGTCAGATGATTTTCGTACTCGTTTCTGGTATAACAATGAGATTTTAAATGTTTTCATGAGCAAAAAACTTGGGTGGCATAAAAAAATACTCGCTCATACGATATCTACACGGATTAATGTATAATTTTAGAAGTTTCTGCAGCTTTTTTGACATATGTATGTAGATTTATAATTATACGCGCCTGCGATGATTTCTCCCTTAAAAAGCTATTTAGCAATTTGTGTAGGTATTGGGTACTAAGCTATGAAAATGATAATGGAGAAATTTCATCACGTAAATTTTCCGAGAAAATTCGTTTTTCATTTTCTTTAATTTTACCGCGTATAACTAACCATAACTTGGAATTTCCATACGTCTTTCTGATTACTTAGTATCTTTTTAGTTAACATTTTATTTTTTTTTCCAAAAATTTTAATTCGCTTGAGGCCGTTTTTAATGAGAAATTAATGTGAATAAACATCAATAGTTCAAAAATGGTAGAAGTTATAGCTGCTTTTTCGAATTCTTCATCCCGATCGCTGGGATATGAACCAGAGACTTCGGATTGCAAAGCCAGTGGTCTACCCATTGAGCCACATAAGTTTGCCACATAAACTGCTATTGCTTCTTCCCCTTTTTTAACCGACTTCCAAAAAAGGAGGAGGTTATCAGTTCGTCGGAATATTTTTGATTTAATTTTTTAAAATTTTTATTTTTTTATGTATGTTACCGCATAACTTTGGACCACGTCAACCGATTTCGATAATTCTCAGAGCTGGTCCCATACTAATCTGGTTTAGATCCGATCATTGGATCGTGAAAAAATTAACGGTACTCCTAAATTTTTATATGAGAATTGAAGTCGGTTTTGTTTTTTGCTTAAAAATTACTTGTTATGATAAAAGATCGTTGATAAAAATTTCATCGCAATCAGAGAGGAAAAAATATACCACTCATAAAAAATTTCGATTTTGAACAAAAACTCCAAAATTGTTTATGGTAATTACACCTATTCCTAAAGGGTCTATCCTATGGCGGTTATAGAATTTTAAACCTGCGAACTACGTTTTTGTGTGCTTAGTTGAGACTTTGATATTCTTTATCAGGGACGTGAACCGGTTTTGAACCGAACCGGTTTTGAACCGGTTGAAAACCGCTTTTTTATATAAACTAACTGAACCATTAACCGAACCGAAATTTTCCACAAATGTTGGATCCGAACCGTAAACCGAACCACTTTTCATAAAGGTTTAAAGGTTCGTTTCAACCAAAAGTTTGTTTACCATGTGCCAATGTCAAATGTAATGGCAACCTATCTCATTTGACAGACACTTGACACCTATCCTTGCGCGCGTTGTTGCACTTGACACTTGACGCTTAAAATTTTTAATTAATTAATTCATCCCAACGGTTTTTACCCTCCTTTCCCGCCCAACCGACACGAGGGGCGCGGTCCGCATGACGTATGGAACTTTTTATTTTATTTTATTATTTTTTTTTTTGGTGCCGAGTCGTGGAAACAGGAGTTTTTTAAGTGTCGAGATCTAAAACTATTCAGATATTCTAGTATAGGTCTAACTAAAGTGGTAAAACGAGCTTTTGTAACATAAGGATCTTTGAACTCTTTTGACTATCGCTTACAAATGAAAAAACGCCTTTGGCTTTATGAAGGTTGAAATTGAGTTTGGAATCCATTGTGATACCAAGATCGACAATATTGGATACCTGCTCCAGATTATAATTTGATATTGAATAAACAGCTGGTTGAACAGCCCTCCGAGAGAAACACATAACTTTACATTTTTGAAGGTTTAGTGGCATATAGTTTGCATTACACCAACTAACCACGTTGCTCAGATCCGCTTGTAACAAAGACCTTTCTTCGATACGCGTTATTTTTTTTTTATCTCCAAACCATTGAACCGAACCGAAACCCCTGTTCAAAGAGCAAAAAAACCCCTTTGACGAACCAATCCAAGAGTGCAAAAATGGTTCGAACCCCTGAACCGAACCGTCCAAATATTTCGCACGTTTCACGTCCCTGTTCTTTATACAAACTTTGCATTAGGGCAGACGATAGTTTAAATAAATTTACATACATACATATATTAGAGCGGGTCAATTAGTATGGGACTTTTTTTACTATGCGAGTTTAGCATAGTATTCAGCGTGTCATTCTAAGCAAATTTTCCCAAGAAATCATGGATCTTAAATCAATAGTAAAAAAATTTTACCCGCTCTAATGTATATGTATTAGAAATTTTAGAGCAGATTACCTACCGTAGATGGGAAAAGAGGTTTACACGGTCAAAACAATCACATTCTTGATTTAAGAATATGGGACTTTTCATTAAAATAATCTGAATTTAGCGAATTCAATAAAAATTCCTTTAAAATGACTGTAAAATAGAAAATGTTCAATTAAAATGAGCTTAATTTGTTTACCAACAGACATTTTGTTTTTAATTTTCATTGAACAAGCAAAAGCACAACATATTTGGTAAACAAAACGGTAGTATACACGTAGGCGTCTACCCGCCTAACGCCAGCATATGCGCATATGTGCAAATATGTCGCGCTAAATCAATTTCGATTCAATTCAATCCGCTTATGCGTTTATTTTTGTGCAAATAATTAAAACTGTACCGTTGAGCGCTGATGGCATACCAAAAAAAGTAAAGGTATGTACAGTTGTCTACAAAATAATAGGAGTGCGTTGCTTTGACCAGTTTTGGCTATTGCTCTTTTGTTTATTTATTGTTTTTTTTTTGTATTAAAGTCTAGCTGGTTATACAACAAACACCATACAAATTCAGATTTCAAACTTTGTGCAAGAATCAGTGGCGGATTCAGCGGGGGGATTTTGGGGGTTAAACTACGTGTCAGTCAGTGGCGGACCCACGGGGGATGTTTTAATATGGCGTCTATGTATTAAAACGCCCCCCGTGGGTTCACCACTGACTAACACGTAGCTTAACCCCCAAAATCCCCCCGCTGGATCCGCCACTGATTCTTGCTCAAAAATCAACGGAATTTTTTAGCAACTTGAAACTTGCACTTTATTGCGCTAGAATTAAATGGGTTAAAAAACTGCATACCACATTCTTTTCTAAAGATTCTGATTAGGTGAAAATTTCCGAAATTTTATAATCTTTGTACTACGTTTGGAAACTGAATTTATATGGGGCTTGTTGTATAGCTAGCTAGACTTTTATAAAAAAATAATAAACATACATATAATAAAGAAACCACAAAGAGCTAAAACTGATAAAAATTACGCACTCCTATTATTTTGTGGACAACTGTACATATGTAAATCCCGCTGAAACGAATGCGTATTTTAATTATGCATGGCTGGTGAGCAACGCCTGTGCTTATGCAATATAAAAATGCATTTCAAGCGAAAAATTACAACGTACATAAGCCATCAAAGGTTGTCCAAATTTGAAAGTGCTATCAGGTTGTACGAACTGTGTGTGGTCTTTGCACGGAAGGTGGTCACCGAATGGCAGACGACGTTTTTTTCGGGTCGATTGTTGGACAGCCGCTACCACGTCACAAACGATTAACGGATATTCATGTGCGCTC